CCCCCCCCCCCCGCCTCCCCGAGGCCCCCGCTGTCCCAGATGCTCCCCCCCAGCCTCCCCAAGGCCCCCACCATCCAGAATGTTCCCCCCCGCCCCCAGCCTTCCCCTTTCAGGTTTTGGTGGGAGAGCTGCTCTTACTCTGGGGAGGATGGGGGGGGGGGTCTCACGGTTTGTTGGACGGGGGTTGGGACAGGAAGTAGGAAATCATGGGGGAACCACTGGCAGGCGTTGGACGCGTTCCCACGCGGAAGATGTGGCCCAGATGTGCAAGCCTCCGTCCCGGCCCCCTGCACAGCCTGTCCCGTCTGCAGGAGTTTCTGGCAGCTTCCGCTGAGGTGCGGCCGTGGGGCCAAGTGGGGTGCCGTTAGGCAGCCCGGAACCGGGGCACATCTGCCTGGTGGCTGTCGTCTGGGGAGCCTGCTCGTCAGGAAGCCCGGCTCACGGCTGACCCTCGTGGTGGCTCCGAGGGAAGGGGGAGCTGAGCCAGCCCACCAGGCGCCCGGCTGAGGCTTCACAGCAGAAGCCCCGGGTGTGCGGAGACATGGGGTGGCCCAGCCTCCCTGGCGGACGGGCCCTTTTCCACTGCCTTGACCCCAGCCCTGCCCTGTCTGCTTGCCTGACCCCGGCCGGAGCCATCCCGTGGGGCAGAGGTCGCGGCAAGAGCCCTCAGCAGACTGGGGCGTCACAAGGGACCAGATCCAAACCTTAAGGATGAGGTAACGACTTTATCCTTCTGAGTCTCAGTTTCCTTCCTCCCGAAGGTGTGGAATCTCGATGATCTAGCGGGGTGGGGGGTGGGGTGGGGGGGGGGGGAGCCGGGAAGCTGCGGGTTTCAGTTGGGGGGGGCGCCCCCCCCCCCCCCCACCCCCCACGCCCCCTGCCCCTGGGGCTGGCCCTGCCTCCTTGCCCGGCATCCCTCCTCCTCCCAGGTGACCCGTGTCTCCTGCACACTGCCCTTGCAGTGACCCTCCCTCCTGGCTTCTCCAGCTCCGCACCCCTGCTTCCGGGCCCCAGCCTCAGTGGCCCGGCCCCCCCCCCCCCCCGCCCCAGGCATTCCTGCCCCTGAAATCCTGCCCGGAAGCAGTCATGCCTCCTTCCTGGTAACGAAATCAGCGCCTCCTACACCGTCTAGGTTAACTCACTCGCAGGCCTTGGCGCAAGGACGGGACGGCGATGAATCAGACCCAGCCGCTCCCCCAACTGGATGCCTCCCCGCCCCCGGGGTCTGGCACGCAGTAGGTGCCCAAGAAACGCCCAGGGGCGTTATGCTGTGGGCAGGGCCTGGGTTAGGGGTTAACTTGTGAGTTCTGAATAATTTACCGTCGGGTCTGTGTTTGTAAGTGTGGCCAAATGGGATGGGGTCCCGGCTTGGCTTGCGCTTGGCTGGCGGGCGCTGCCTCGGGCCCCCTCCCTGCCTCCCAGGATGTCTCCTGCCCTCTGGCTCCCAGCCCTGCCTCCTCTTCCGGCCGGTAGGGGCCCGGCCACAGGGTGGGGCAGGGGTTGGGGCTGTATGCCTGTGTCTCAGGGCCGAGCGGCCATCCCTGCCCTGAGCACGGACAGGACGCTGTCCTATAGGACAGCCAGCCCATCACCCACCCCATGCGGGGACCTGGTGCATTTTGACGGGAAGGTTGCAGCGTGCCCAGAGGCCACCTGTCTGCCCGGGCTGGGGTGGCAGGCCTGTGGAGGGCAGATGTATGTCCCACCGTTCCTGCTCTCACCGTGGTCGGGGGTGTGGGTCCGGTGGGCGGTGGGAGGCTGGTGTGGGTCGGGTGTGCCGGGTCGGGGAGACCCCCTCGCGTACAGACCACCAGGACAGGTAGAGAGCGCACAGGGAAAAGGAAGAACCTTTTTATTTTAGGACCGCTAACGACACTTTCTCTTGCTTTTTGGACGAGGACCCCTGAGTTTTCATTGTGCTGGGGCCCCAGTCATACAGCTGCAGCTGGGTCCCAGGGGCCAGCCCCCCCGCCTCTCCAGGCCTCAGTTTTCTCCTGTGGCACCGGGTCTGAGGGCTCTGCTGGGAAGCGGTTCTGGCTGCCTCCCCACACTACCGGGGTGCCCCATGAGGGCTGGGCCTCTGCTGTCCGTCTGCCCCCTCTTGCACCCAGGCTCTGGGACGACCCGGGCTGGGGGCACCAGGAGCCGGGACGACCCAGGCTGGGGGCACCGGGAGCCGGGACGACCTGGGCTGGGGGCACCGGGAGCCGGGATGACCTGGGCTAGGGGCACCAAGAGCCGTGAGGACCCAGGCTGGGGGCACCAGGAGCCGGGACGACCCAGGCTGGGGGCACCGGGAGCCGGGACGCAGGCTGGGGGCACCAGGAGCCAGTACGATCTGGGCTGGGGGCACCAGGAGCTGGGACGACCTGGGCTGGGGGCACCGGGAGCCAGACAGCAGTGACCTTGGCTCGTCCTCGCCTGCTGAGTGCTCGCCGTGCGCCTGGCCGTGTGCTGAGGGTTTCACACCTGTGAGCATCCAGTGCTCACCACGGCCCTGCCCTGGGTACCGCTGTCCCCAGTCTGCAGGTCAGGAGACTGAGGTGCGCAGAGCGTAGGCGAGAGACCGGGATCCGAGTGCAGGTGCACTTCAGTGCTGTGCTGCCCAAGGCACCACTGCACACGGGGACCTCACACACCTTGGGACCACCTGCCCGGAGAGGGAGGTGACAGAGAGGGAGGCGGACGAGGAAGCAGCTCTGCGGGGCGGGCGTCTGGGCCCCAGGAAGTGCCAGTGATTTGGCACCTTGGAGAGCGGGGGTCCTTGGGGACGCTACAGACACCTTTTGTTCAGGGAACTCAGGCCTGCTGGGGAAGCTGTAATGTGCGGGCAGGGTCACGTTCAGGAGAAACCTCGGTTCTCAGGCTGGGCGCGGCCTCTGTCTCCCCAGACCCTGGTACGGCCACGTCTGTGCCCTTCCCTGGCCCCGGAAGCAGGGAAGGCAGACACTCTGGAAGGAGGGCTGTTCAGCATGCGGGGTGGAAATGCGAGTGTAGAGCTGTGACAGGCGACGCCCCGGAGGCTGGGGGGTGCTGGCTGGGGGCGGGGGGGGGGGGCGGTTCTTCAGGGGACCTTCCGGTTCCTGGGGCTTCAGGCTTAGTTTCCTTTCTGAGCCTCCGTGGTTGGGGAGTGGGCTCGAGGAAGGGGTGCTGGCCTCTGCCGACACTGCCCCTTGGGGGCCCAGAGCTGACCCCGGAGGGCAGGGGTCCGAGAACCGAGGCTTCGGGTGGGAATGGGAGGCCTTCACGGATGCGGCCGGGGCGGTTCTCAGAGGACGCGGCGGATGTGACCGAGGCGTGGTGGGAGGGCGGGTGGGGCTCCAGGCACGGCCTCACCTGTGCAGGAAAGGGGTGCGTTCGGGGAAGGGGACTTGGCAGGCGGAGGGCGTGGGGACGGGAGGGGGCCGCTTTCCCGAGAGGCCTGCTTATCACGTGGGACCCCGAGGAGGGAAGCCACTGCAGGCCCATCAGCGGGAGGGAGGTCGGGGCAGAGCCAGCGTCCCCTGCAGAGGGGGGAGTGGGTCGGGGCCACCCTCCCTGCAAAGCATTGCCGGCACCCACGGGGCCTTGTGCGGGGTCCCTGCGCCTTGACCGGGCTTCAGGATTCCAGGAGAGCGGGGCTGGCGGCAGTGATGGGAGCAGGTGAGGTCACGGTGGGCCGGGTCTGTCCTCGCTCACACGGGGCCTCGTGACTCGGGAATAACTTACGCCCAACCTCGCGGTTCAGAGAGTGTGTTTTGTGCTTCCCGATGGTTTGCGATGAGTCTGGCTGGTGGGACTTCAGAGACGGGTGGCGTAAGCCCAGACGGAACGCGGAAAAGCCCGGAAGAACAGGCGTGAGGGGATCGCGGGTTCTCTCTGCGTGACGGGATTATGAGATGTTTTCTTCCTTCTTTATGTCTGTCGGTGTTTTCCAGATTTTCAGTGAGGAGTTTGTACGACTTTCACGATTGCAGAAAAAAGCTGTTCCCAGACGGGAAAGAACTAGTTCCATAGTCCAGGGGCGGATTCTGCACGAGGGGAGGGTGTGCGGTTCGTGCACTGCACAAATGTCGGCTGAGAAGCGCATTCTAGGTGTGGGGACACCAGCTGGCAGCACAGTCGTCCCTTCCAGCGAGGGGTCCAATTCTCAGAGTCAGACACCCCAGGACCTGGGGACCACGGGGGCCTGAGGGAGGGAAAGGGCCCCAGGGGGAGAAGGGAGAAGGTGGTGCCTTTGCTGAGGCGGGGCTGGGGACGGACCCGCGCAGGTCAGGGGACATCTGAGCGGACGTGGGGGGGGAGCAGCGGCCGATGAGGGTCAGGAGTCGGGAAAGGGGCTGGCGGTGTGCACGCTGACCGTCGGGGGGGTCAGGCCTGGCTTTCCCTGGCTCGTGCTTTGTGCTGCCTGAAGTGCCCGGAGTGGCACGGCCGGGGCAGGGCACCAGTGCCGGGAGGGACAGGACAGGGCACCAGCGGCCTCCCCGCGTCCGGCCACAGTGCCGGGGACTCTGCTCACGTGCCTTCTCTCTCTCCACAGGAGATGGGAGCGCCCCGTGCACGTCCAGCGCCCTCCAGGAGAAGCAGCGTGAGTTCCCCTGACCTGCCAGAAGGCTTGTCCCTCCCCACCCCACCCCGCCACCGTGGGTCCAGCCTCCTCGGGCCTGGGGCCCCCCCTGCCCGTGAGCTGAGCTCCTGGGGGTCCCCGGCTCCCACCCGCCGGGCAGCTCAGGGGCGGCAGAGCCAGAGTGGGGGCGGGACCCTGCAGAGTGTCATCTGTGTGCGGGCAGAGAGAGCACGGGAACGGGGGGCCCTTCCCAGCCTTTGACGCCGTGTGTCCCGGGTGACGTGGTGCTGAGGTCAGAGGCCCCTCATTCGAGGCTGTGCCAGGGCCAAGACTCCTCCCACAGGCCCGGACACGGGGCACCCTGTAGAGATGCCCGCGGGCCGACCGCGATCGGGGTGTCCTCCCCGGAGGCTCCGGCAGACTTGGTGGGCGGCCTCAGCCAAGCATCTGCGGTCGGCAGCGTTGAGTTTCTCAGCAGGCCGGGGTCGGGGAGGGTCTGGCGCGTGATGGGCGTGAGCCCTCAGAACCCCCTTCTCTCTCCTGCCGCTTGGAGGTGTGGTTGGAGCCTGGGGGCTGAGCCCGCCCTGCCCACCCGTCCCCAGGCTCGCACATCCCTTGGCTGCAGGAGGGGGTCTGCCCGGCCCGGGGCCAGCACTGGGGATGTGTGCCGGGGGCTGGGAGGGCTGGGCGCCTCTGTCAGGGGCACCCCACAGCTCAGGCCGCGGGGGCACGGGGCAGGGGGAGGGGGAGGGCATCCTCACACCGTGCAAGGAACTGAGCTCAGCAGGAGCGGGGTGCGTCCATTGTGCCCCCGGATTCTAATCTCAGTGGCTGAGATTAAATGAGATTGCATTTCTACTGGGAGGCGCCAGGTTTGCGCCTGAGGGGGAGGAAGCCAGGGTGTGCGTGGCCAGAGCCTGGGTGCTGTCTCCCTCGGGAATGGCGGCTGGTTTGACAAGCGTGGGTCTTCGGGGTGTCCTCAGCCCGTCCTGGGTGAGGAGGGTAGAGGAGGGTTGGCTCAGGGGGTGAGGGAGGAGGGCACAGCTGGAGATTAGTGGCCTTCGGGTGGAGGGCCCGTTCCCATGCACCTTGTGTGTCCTCTCTAGGGATTAGTTAGCCCGTTCCCCCCAAGAGGCCCCGCGTCACATCCCTCAGGTGTGGCCACTGTCCTCAGGAGGGAGGGAGGACCCCAGCCTCAAAGGGAGAGTGACCGCCCGCCCGGGGCCAGACCTCTGCTCCAGGCTGGACCTGGCTGAGCAACGTGGGTATTTAGTAGAGACACAAAATCTGTTTGTTGTTGTCTTTAAACTAGGGCTGTGTGGGCGCCGGGGGCTCAGTCCGTTAAGCGTCTGACTTTGGCTCAGGTCATGATCCCACAGTTCACGAGTTCGAGCCCCACGTGGGGCTCTGTGCTGACAGCTCAGCTCCTGGAGCCTGCTTCGGATTCCGTGTCTCCCTCTGTCTCTGCCCCTCCCCCACTTGTTCTCCTCCCCCCTCCCATAAATAAACATTAAAATTTTTTTTCAAAAAATAGAATAAACTAGGGTTATGGACGTCAGAATCCACTGCTGAAGGCTCCTCTGTGGTTCTGCCCGTCGAGGGTCGTCTTGCCAGCGGGGAGTTAAGGGTAGTAACAACGGGGCCAGTGGCCCTAAGTACACGGCCAGCAGTGTGGACAGTGGGAAGGATGACCTTGTGACACCCCTCCCTGCGATGTCCACACGGCCGGCCGACGGGTCTGCTGGTTCTGTTCCATGCGTGCCGCCCGCAGATTTCAGCATTTCGCTGCCTCTGTGTTTGTGGAGTGAGGGTTGTTGACGGCCGCGGTTTACTCTTGATCCAGAATTGGCGACGCGGAGGTCTGCCTGGCGCCTGTGACCTCGTGACGCGCTTCAGCGTTCGCCGTGTTCTTCCGCGCGCACGGTCGTTCCAGTATTTCTGCCGGCCTTACGCAGCCTCACTGGGGGCCAGATGCAGGGGGGGTGCGGGTGGCCCCCCAACCAGGACTCAGGAGGCCCTGGGGCTGTTGCTGCAGCCTCTGAGCTGGGAGGGAGCCAGGCCTGGGGGTGAAGCCCTGTTCCTTCATTCAGTGCTGTGACGTTCTGGGCAGGTCACCAAGCGTCTCTGAACCTCAGTTTACTCCCTCGTGGAGAGAGGACCGTAATGTCTTCTTCCCAGAATGGCAGACAGGCGGAGGGACTTCCGGAGATCCGTCTTCTCGCTCCGCCGGTGCTGTGGCCACTCGGTTGTCCCCGCACAGAGGTGTGTCCTGTGTAGGCTCCAGGGCGTGAGCGGGGAGGGGGCCGGCCTGGGCCGCTCAGACTCCATCCCGCAGCTGCACGGCCCGCAGCCTGCTGCTTCCCTGTTATTTGGGACCAGATTTCTGTGTGTGGGGGACCTGCCTGGGAGCAGAGGACGGAGGGTCTGGTCCCCCGGCCCACAGGCGCCGTCCTGCGTGCACGTGCAGCCCGCGCAGCCCCGTGGGTTCTGACATTCTAGCACTCTCTGTGCCTCCTGGTTTCCTCTGTCTGCGGGTCCCGGCTGCCCTGAGCTCAGCAAGCACCCCCAGCGCACGGCCAGCCGTCTGACGTGGAGTTCGGTGCAGGGGCCCCGGACACATGGTCCGCACCAGCCGCACTCTCCACGCGGTCCTCCGGCCCCCCGGCCACCCTCCCTGCCGCTCTCCTTCCCCCCCACACCCACTCGGTGGGGACTCTGAACTTTCTCCCGTCCCCAGACCGGGACCCGGAGACCGCAGTCCGGACTGAGTGCCGTTACAGGCTCCCGTCTGACCCGCGGGTCTCCGTCCTGCCCTGGCCGCCAGCGAGCCTGGCTTTGTCCAGGGCTGCGTCCTGACTCCCCACCCCCCCACCCCGCTCCTAGGCCCCATCACCTGTCAGACAAACGTCCCCAAGGGGACGGAGAAGACGTGGATGCTCAGAACCACCCACCCCCACTGTGTGTGTGGGTCTGACCTCACGTCCCACCGCCTGGGGCCGGCGACCAGAGGAGCCGCTCGGATGCCGGGACCGCCACCTCAGGGCTCCCCTCCCGTGTGCCCGCGGCCCCTCGCCCACAGCTGGCCTCCCGGCTCCCTCCCACTAACCGGTGTCTTTTCCTCGCCTGTGTGGGCAGCTTGCTGAGCGCAGCTGCAGACGTGCTATATTTAGCCGGATTTAATGAGCTCAGGGTGGCAGACGGCCGCCTTGGGAGCTTTTCTCTCGCGTGTGCGCGCGAATGTCTGTTCGACAGTGTCCGCTCTCGCGTGTGTACGTAAGCGTGTGCCCGTGCGCGTGTGTGCATCAGTGTGCATGTTAACGTGTCGGCGCGTTCATTTTCACGAGGATACGTGTGTGTTCCCGTGGGTCTATCCGTGTCGTGTCTGCGCTTTGTTGGGGACACGTGCGGCTTTTGACACTCGTAAGGGTCTAAGACGGGAACAGATTGTTGGTTCCCTCGTCTGTTTGAAAAATATTTCACGAGCATCTTTTATGTGCCAGCATCTTCATAGTCTTTGGGGATAAAATGGAACGTAAATGAGCCCGGCTGCAGCCTTTAAGGACCTCACGGCCTGGGGGTGGAGGAGATGGCAGATGGAGTGACCACAGAGCTAAGTATGAGGACTCCCCCTGGGAAGGAAAGCCAGCTGCTTTGGGAGGAGGACAGGAAGGACGGAAGTTTCCTAGGAAACATTTGGGCACAGCAGCATGAAGGAGAGTCCAGGCTTGGGGGGCAGAATGTGCAAAGACCCCTTGGTGAGAGGGAGGAGAGGTTTGAAAGCCATCCTGCGGCTCAGGGGTTGAGCTCCGAGGGGAGGTGGGACCACAGCACACGATTTGCGTGGCGCTGTTAGAATTTAGTGCATGACTCTGTCAGGGTCCCGGGGGGGAAGGAAGGCTGTGCCAACACAGGACTGGGGGAGGGTCCCCTGAAAGGATCTTGTTCACAGGCTTAGGGAAACCCACGGGCACGCAGGTAGCGGCCCGGCACCCTGCCCCACCGTCAGTCCACACCGCGGAGCCCCGGCCGGCGGTCCCCGGCGTCCTGCTCTGCGGCCCCGGCCGGCGGTCCGGCCCTGTCCAGACCCCTCGTAGGGAGGCTGAGACCAACGTGGGTGGGGGCGGGGGTCTGTCTTCAGCCTGAGAGAATCTGTTTCCCCAAATCCTTTTCTCCTGGGAACAAAAGAGCTTCTGGAAACAGCCCAGGAAGCCGTGCGGCAGACCTCCCCAGCGGCACAGAAGCCCAAGCGGGAAGAAATCGGAATTACTGTCTCAGAAAAGTCGCTGCCCGCTACATGGGCACTGGAGGCTCTTCTGAGCGGGCAGTGCAGGGAGACGGTCGGATTCCTGGCGGAACAGACGCAACGCGTGCGTGGGCTCACCTGGCCCCTCCCAGAGGCAGTGGGATTCCCCGGGAACCGAACACCTCCACGAACACCCGTTTGTGCGTGTCTCTGTTCGTGCCGCACGCAGACGGGAGCAGACGGCGCCTTCCCTCCTGGCCCCCCTAGGAGGACGACACACGGGGTGACTTCCGCATCTTGGGCCGCGGGGGGCACACCGGTCTCCCTACCCGCGTCCTGGCTCACTGCCGTGGATGCACCAGCTGGTCCCCCAGGGCTGGGCACACAGGTGGTTCTCCGTTGGTGTCACAAGCGGCGTGGCGATGCTCAGCGTGCACGTGTGCCTTTCCGCGCCAAGGCTCCGTCCCGGGGCATCGCGGGTGCTCGGTGCTTCGAATGACGTTCCAAACCGCCCCGCTCAGGGTCAAACGGTTTCTCCTGTCACCGACCACGAATGGGGAAGGGCTGTCCCCCCCCCGCCCCCCACGCTGGGCGGCACAGTGATTACTGATCTGGGGGGTGAGGAAAAGGCCTTTTAGGGTCATTTCGCCGAGCGACTCCCTGCTCTGGGTGCCTTGTCCTGTGCCGACGCCATGCCTGGGCCCACGTCCCCAGCGCTTCACCCACACGGGGATCACGGCCCCTCCTGAGCCCCTGCTTTCTCATCTGTAAACCAGGGAGGGCACCCTGCTCCCTTGTGAGTGTAGGGAGGCCTGAGACCCTGGAGGAGGACCGGGACCCCGGGCACATGCCGAGGAGGCACTGGAACGGGGTGCTGAGCCCTGCCCGGGCCAGGAGGGTCTCTAGTGTGTCTGACGTCTCCCTGGGGCCTGACTCAAGATGGTGCCTCCCCCAGTCTGAGCCTGGCACCCCACCCCCGGGGTGTGTGGCCCCTCTACTGCCCCCGACGGTGTGCTTTTAGGGGCTGGATCTGGGGCCCAGACCCTCTGGGGTCTTAGTCTGGGACAGCGCCTCTGTGGGGTGCTGAGTGGCCCTCCGGGGTTTGGGCCCCGTGGGCTGGTGGATCCAGGCTGACCGGGTTGGGTTCTGACCCTGGAAGGGTTAAGTTGTCTCAGCGGGGCCTCAGCGTCCACCCCCATCCTGCACTGCCCCGCATCCACTCGCTCCTTCCTCCTGGCCCCTCCTGGACGACTGTGAACCTTTCCTGAGTACTGAGACTCGGAACCCCCCAGAAACCGCCCCACCCCGTTGGCAGGGCTCTGCCCTCTGTCTGGTGACCCAGACCCAGCTCCTGGGGATTGGCGGGCAGGTGCCACGGTCCTCGAGCCTGCTTTTCCCCCTGGCGGGGCCCCGCGTGAGCCCCCAGAGCGGCCTGAGCTGTGGGGGCAGGGACGTGCCCGCAGCCTCGGAGGCGCCCTGCCCAGCCTAGACCTGTGTTGCACGACCCCAGGGCCCCGAGGTCCTCAGGCTCATCGAGGTGTCTCTGGGCCCAGCCGGTGGACCAGGAGGCCTCCATGGTGTCAACCCGGTTTTGGAGCCCAAACGCAGGATCTTGGTTCACTGATTGTGTTTCAGGTGTATTCCGTCCGCAGACGGTCCTTCTCGGGTCCCCTCGCCGCCGGCCGTCAGCTCCCAGAGGGCAGGGCGTTTCCCTGTTCTGTCTGAGGGGTTCGCGTGGGGCAAAGTAGGGGACCGCGGCTTGTCTAAGGCGTTCCTGGTGTAAGTGTGACAGACATTTGTGCTGTGTGCTCAGCGGACACGTTCGTAAATGGTTTTAGACTTAGGTATGGGCTCACTCGCTGGAGAAAAATTGGAAAATACAGGACGGTTAGGAAAACCACCAGCCGTTGTCCCGCCATCCAAACAGAACCGCTCTCGGGCTGGGCCGGCCACCCCCGCCCCTGGACCTTCCACGCCCACGTGCTGTGTGTGCTTGTCCCGGACGCTAGCCTGGGGGCCTGGGGCCGTGGCCGGAGCCCCCGCTGGCCGTGCAATGAGGCTGTACCTCCTCCTGTGAGCTCCCAGGGAGGGACACGTCCTGCGTCGCACTCAGGGCCAGGTCACAGAGCCACTGGGTTCTTCCCCAGGATTCGCGCTTGCGGCCGAGCGTGTGGTGTGTGTGTGCGTCCGTGAGCTCACAGAGGACCGGGTGCTCCTGTGGGCCACACGGTCGCAAGCTGGGCCCAGCTGTGCTCCCTGGAGGGCAGGGGTGACGGGACGGGGTGCCCAGCTCCAGCCAGGGGCGCCCCCAGCCCCCAGCCCCTGCGGGTCCCCGCGGCCCGGCAGCGGGAGGGGCAGAGACAGTGGTCCCCACGACCAAGCCGGTGCTGCTTTGCTCCGCGTACCAAGCGCGTGGGTGCCGACCTCGGCCTCTGTCTCAAGAGGGGTGTGGCACTTGGGTCATTAGAAGGATGATCCCAGTGTGTGCCTCTCCAAGGTTGCGATTAAGGAAAAGCAGCCTCTGCTCTTCAGCTGGTGGGAGTGCTGGGGGCGGGCACCGGGGTCAGCAGACGGCCGGGGGCCCACCCCGCCCCAAATCTGGGCTCGGCAGGGACCCGCCTGGATAGGGCCATGCTGGCGGAAACAACCCTGCCAGCGGCTTGTGTCCCCGGGGGCTCTGGGGGAGCCTGTGGAGGGGGACCGACGAGGCCCAGGCCCAGAACTCGTTCGGTTCCCTGACGCCAGCTGCCCCGGGACTTTCAGGAGACGCACATCCCAGCGGGTGACACTTCCCTGCACCCAATTTCTCCCCGGCGCTGACGAGCAGAGGGGTACCTCACGGGCCGTGTGCACCCTGGGATCTTTGCTTGGAGCGAGTTTTCCCAAAAATGCCACACCAGACCGTGACAGCAGGGGATCGCGGCTGTCAAGGGGCCCCGAGTTGATGGCAGCAATGACAGTGAGCCGGGCCCTGCTGAGCATGTTGTGAGGTCTCCATCTCTGCCTCAGTGGCTCTGAGAAGGCTTTCCAGATGTCAGGACGATTGAGCAGGGTTTTGAAGGACGGGTAGGAGTTCGTTGGTCTGCCTGGGGAGGAAGGCCGTCCCAGGCACAGGGCTCAGCACGAGGCAAGGAGGAGCAAGCCTGCCGCGTCTGGTGGGCGAACCAGTGGCCTCCATTACTGTGGTGGGGACGCCTGGCTCTTCGAGAGCACAGCGCTGTGGGCAGGGCCAGGGCGGGGGGCGAGGGCCGCCTTTCTGGGTTCCACAGGGGCCTCTGCTGACGCTGGAGACGCACCTTCCTGGAGGGCCCTCCAGTCACGTTAGCCCACTCCTGGGGGCAGGATCTAGGTCTGCGGGTGAGGCCTCCCCTCCTCTGTCCCCCGAGCAAGATGTCTTTGGCTGCCGTGGCCAGGGAAGGGGCGAGGGGTGCTGAGGACGACCCTGTCAGTCCCAGCCCCCCCTCCCCCACCTGGAGCCAGGAGCCCCTCTCTGAGGCCTGTGTGTGTATGAGCTTGTTTATCTTCGGCCCCGCCCCGGGGGTGGCCTCTGTCATCCTCGCGTCCGGAAGAGGAAACCGAGAAGCCGAGGGTCCGCTCACACCGTGGGCGGGGGCAAGATGTGGACGCGGGCGCTGTCCGAACCGGGTGTCTTCTGGCCTCAGGAGTGAGGGGTCCCCTGGGGCCAGAGGGGACCTCAGCCGCACACAGCTCCTGGTCTTCCCGGCCCTGGAGCCGCGCACGAGGCCACACGCACCACGGAACGTGGCTGCTTTGCTCTGGGGCGGTGTGTGTGTGGCAGGCCTAGAGGTACCACTCGCCAGCACCGTCCTGGGTTGGGCGTGGGACTTGGGTGCCGGCCGCTCAGCCTAACCCTGCGGCCTGGGGCACGTGAGCCAGGATGTATGAGCCTCGGTTCCTCGTCTGCAAATGGGGCTGATACCCAGAGGACCAGAGCTCAGGGGCGGTGTGGGGACTAGGTGACAGTGCCTGGGACGTAATACGTGCTCAGCAAAACCCAAGCCAGTTCTGTGTTTTGTCAGGAGCCTGTCCTGAGCACGGGGCCCAGGGCAAGGTCCCCAGGATATGAGCCGCTGGAAGGAGCGGGGGGAAGTCCCGGGCAAGCCTGGCCTCATTCCCTCCTCCTCCTCCTCCCGGCCACCCCTCCATCCTTTAGGGAACGAATTCCTGTCTGTGTGGGCGGGAGCCCTGAGCCCATAAAGCAGTTACCCTTAGACCAGGGCGGTAACCGGAAGGACCAAATCATTCAGAATTACACTTCTGGTTTCGTGTTCTTTGCTGAGTACCCTGGGGCCAGGAAGGTGGGGGGAGGGTGTCCTAACCCAGACCCTTGGTCAGGCTTCCACCCACACCTGCTGCACCCCTGCCCGCAGAGCCCCGGAAGGACCCTCCCCCACATGACCCCTAAGAGGTGCAGCAGGTTCGGGTGGGGTGGGTGAGGGAGGGGGGGCCAAGAAGGAAAGGGCCGTCCCAGCATGCAGTTGGCTGCTTTAGGAGTGAGGGAGTGAGTTCCCCATCACTGAAAGCACACGAGTGGTCCACAGTCTCGCCACGTGGTCCAGACACATACAAAGTAACATCCTCCTTGTGGGGAGAACAGAGAGGAAGCAAGGTCAGCGTGGTGGGTGGGTGGGTTCCTCAGGATGGCAGGCGGCCCCAGGTGGGCAGCGAGGGGGCCGCGGGGTGTCTTTGAAGTCTCTCTCCACCCGAGAGCCCAGCACGGTGACATTGGGAATGTAGGTGTTAGATCACACAGCCTTCTCTGTAAGGGCCAGCCGGTAGATACTCCCAGCTTGGCAGGCTGTGAGGACTCATGCAACTGTGTAACTCTGTCGCTGAGGCCCGTGTGCGAGCAGCCACAGACGGATGTGAACCAGAGAGCCCAGTGGTGTTCCAGTAAAACTTTATTAACAGCGATGGGCGCAGGCCAGATTTGCTTCTTGGCTGTCGCCTGCGGGTCCCTGCATTAGAGGGACCAGGGGCTCAGGCCTGGAGGCCCCAGAGGAGGGGTGGCAGCTGAAGGAAATGAGGACAGCCTTTCTTGGCGGGGGGGGGGGGTGACAGGGGCCTCACCCCAGAGGTCACCCAAATGCTGCCTTGCCTCTCTGGGGGTCCACCTGCCCTGGGCCCCGGGTCCCCTCATTCAAGGCCTTGCTACGGCTCAGACGGCTCCAAGCAGACAGTTTTAAAATATGCAGCTCTCCACTTTTCAGGAGGGTGCTCGGCCCCCATTTCCGTCCCTCACTAGAGGTCCCCCGATGGCACGCACATGGTTGCTGTTGTTACTGGCGAGGGAAGCAGGACAGCATCTTCCGGGACACCCTCCCTGGCCTCAGGGACGGCGTGTGCGCTGGCCCGGCCCTGGGGCGACAACGGCTTCTGGTTGTGTTGGTCTGGAGGCGGGGGCTGGACGCTGTCGTTCCAGCTGGGGCCCCGGGGACGCTGGGGCCCCAGGGAGGGAGGCCTGCAGGTGCTGAGTCCTCTGTCCCCCCGCAGGAGAACTGTATCGGGTTTCCTTGAGAAGACAGAGGTTCCCCGCCCAGGGCAGCATCGAGATCCACGAAGACAATGAGGTGGGCGGGGCTCCTGGCGGTGTCTGGGCTCCCTGTGGTCAGGACTTCAGGGGGACCCCCAGGCCAGTGGACATTTGACTTGCTCTTCACCGGACTTGCCGTGCAACCCTGGGCAGGTCCTTGTCTGTCTCTGGGCCTCCGGCTCAGACCCCCTCAAGAAGGGTCTCTTGGGGCCCTTGGGGCCTTGACAGCGAGGGGCTTGCTCCGCCAGCAGCCTGGGCGGCCCCCTCTGCGTGCACAGGGAGCCACACCGGGGGCCGAGGGTCCCCGCACCTGCGCCCCCTCTCCCTGCCTCCCGTGTCTACCCCGCCCAATGTCCTCCTCAGGAAGGCTGCCCGCGGCGCTCCTGCAAGACGCACGTGCTCCTGCTGGTGCTCCACGGGGGCAACGTCCTGGACACGGGTGCGGGGGACCCGGCCTGCAAGGCGGCCGACATCCACACCTTCGGCTCCGTGCTGGAGAAGGTCACGCGTGCCCACTTCCCGGCGGCCCTGGGCCACATCCTCATCAAGTTCGTGCCCTGTCCTGCCGTCTGCTCCGAGGCCTTCTCGCTCGTCTCTAAGTGAGTCCCTTCTGCCCACGTGGACTGGCCAAGGTTGGTGGGGTTGACGAGGGAGTGCTGTCCTGGCGGGGGGGGGGGGGGGGGGGGGGGGGCCTGCTGGGGCGTCCACGGGATGTCAGGCGCTGACTGGCCATGAACACACTGGCGGGGAGTGGTCAGCAAGGGTCCCGAGCAGTTAGTAGGTGTGCACCCGGTCTGCCCTGCCCTGCCCTGCCGAGCCCGGCGTTGCTGGCTCCCTGTGCTCAGTAGGCCCCGGTCCCCTGGCCCCGAGGACGCTGAGGCCCTGGGAGGCCCAGCAGTTGCCCCCAGGGTTACCCAGAGAATGGAGCCGGGAATCGAACCCGGGCAGCCTGGCTTTCCCGCCGCACGGTCAGAGCCCGGTGCGGGTGTGTGTTCTGATGCGGGCGGGCCATGCGCTCTGGACGCCCGGGAAAAGCCAGGGAACCTTCCCCGGCCTGTGTCATCTGTAACGTGGGGACGATCGCGTCGGGAGCACCGCGTGGAGTGTTTGCGAGGACGCTGAGCGCTAGTGTGACTCGCGGCTTCGTCCTCCAGCGTGGATGGCTCTCTCTCGAGGACAGTGGGCCGGGGAGAGGGTGTCCGGGTCCCCACAGAGAAGCCGGCCACAGGGGATAAGGCATCAAGCTCCCCGGGCCTGGTTCCTTCCCCGCCTCCCGTCCCCAGTGGGGTCATGTCGGGCCCTGGTCAACCTGAGTTTGGGCCCTGGGTGGGGGCAGGGTGGGGCAGGGGCTCCAGCCAGCTGGCTCTGATGCCCCAGGGGACCACGGCAGGCAGGGTGGGGGTGGGGGCCGGGCAGGAGCTGGTCCCCGAGGGGTCTGAGCTACGGCAGAGGGAAGGGCTTGCACGTGGGGAAGCAGGGCAGCCGTAGAGCAAGCTCTCAGTCCTTTCTGGGCTCATACCTTTCTGCAAAGCCCGCGGCCCTGGACCCTCGCCCCAGGACGGTGCACACCATGTCATGCGCACAGCTACGTGTCCATCTCCAAGCTGCGGCTGACGCGGGTCCCCTTGCCTGGAACCCTCTCTCTCCTCCTCTGTAGCGTCCGTAAAGCCTTCCTTGAGACCTAGTCCTGATTGCACCTCCTCCGGGAAGTCTGCTATGATACGTCCCCACCCTGATCCACACCAGGCGGCTTCCTCCAAATCGGGGTTTCCCTTGGGGCCGTGCAGAAGAGGGCAGGGGAAGGTGGCCGGCCAGGAGACACCAGGCCCACATCCCGGGCTGGCGCGGGGACGATGCCCCCACCTGCACTTTGTTGTTTCTTGTGGCTCCTGCCTGGTTCTGCTTCGAGGGCCCCGAGCAGGGGCCTAGCCACAGCCGGCCCGTGCTCTCCTCTGCCCGGTGCGCAGCCCCAGACCTGCCCCTGCCTGAGCCCGGCCGGGCTTACCTTGACCCTGTCTGCAGCCTGAACCCCTACAGCCACGATGAGGGCTGTCTCGGCAACAGCCAGGACCACGTCCCCCTGGCCGCCCTGCCCCTGCTGGCCATCTCCTCTCCGCGGTACCAGGACGCGGTGGCCACCGTCATCGAGCGGGCCAACCAGGTCTACACAGAGTTTCTCAAGTCCCCTGACGGAATCGGCTTCAGTGGGCAGGTATGACAGCCTGCCTCCCTAACCAGCCCTGACCTAGCCTGACCGCTGTCCTCAGGCCGACCCTGACCCGAGTCTGACCCCTGACCTGAGTCTGACCCCTGACCCTGGCCTGACTGCTGTCCTTACGCTGACCCTGACCCGAGTGTGACTCCTGACCCTGGTCTGACTGCTGTCCTCGGGCTGACCCTGACCTGAGTCTGACCCCTGACCCTGGCCTGATTGCTGCCTTCAGGCTGACCCTGACCCGAGTCTGACCCCTGACCCTGGCCTGACTGCTGCCTTCAGGCTGACCCTGACCCGAGTCTGACCCCTGACCCTGGCCTGACTGCTGCCTTCAGGCTGACCCTGACCCGAGTCTGACCCCTGACCCTGGCCTGACTGCTGCCCTCAGGCCGACCCTGACCCAGCATGAACACCCATCCCCCACAGGGGTTCTGTCAGTGGCTCTCCGGGACAGGTCCCTTATTCTGCCAGGGACAGGGGACTGGTGCTCTGGCCGGGTACGGGGGCGGTGGGTCAGCGGCGGGCGGGCCTTTAGCGCCAGCTGTGTGTGCCCCAGGTGTGTCTCATCGGGGACTGTGTGGGGGGCCTCCTGGCCTTCGATGCCATCTGCTACAGCACGGGGCCCTCGGGTGACAGTCCGGGCGGCAGCAGCCGGAAGGGCAGCATCAGCAGCACCCAGGTGCGGGCCAGCCGGTGGGGGTCGGGGAGGGGCCTGTCCTGGGGAGGTGAGGCGGGCCTTCACCCCGGTACGCGGTCGCTACCCCCGAAGTGTTGCCCTACGGGAGGAGGGCGGGTTTAGGCCGGGGTCGGGCGCCTACGTCCGGACCCCCGGTGGGTCGCCCCGGGCCGAAACCCCGCCGTGACTCGGTGGCTCCCGCGCTCCTTCGCAAGAGTGCTGACCTGACGTCTGGGGAGAAAGGGGTTCATCCGCGCCCGGGGGAGGACGCGGGGCCCCGGAGTCTGTGGTGGCTGCAGTGCTCTCCTGTCCTCTGCGTGACCCCAAAGGACGCCCCCGTCGTGGCGGACGAGGCGTGCGGTCTGGCCGGCAGCAAGCGTCTCAGCAAGAGCAGCATTGACGTCTCCGGCGTGCCGGACGAGGACGCCTCGGAGCCCCAGAGGCCGTTGCCTCGGAAACAGAGCGACTCCTCCACCTACGACTGTGAGGCCATCGGCCAGCATCATGCCTTCCTGTCCAGGTAACCGCCTCCCGGGCCCCGTCTTCCTTCCAGCGCGGCGTCCGGGGCGGCGAGGACCGGCCCTGGGTCCCAGGCCCTTTCAGGAGGCCTGTAGACGGGCGCGGAGAGGCTGGGACCCCGGCCACTCCCCGTGGGTCCTGCGCCCCGTCCCTGCGCCGCCCCGACTTGCGGAGGGAGGGGACGGCCCTCCAGCGTCGCAGACGCTCAGTGTCAAGCTCTGGCAAAGGCAAAATTACGCCCGGCCCGCTTCAACTGCTGCTTAAGAAAAGGCGGTGGGGGGGGCGCCTGGGTGGCGCAGTCGGTTAAGCGTCCGACTTCAGCCAGGTCACGATCTCGCGGTCCGGGAGTTCGAGCCCCGCGTCGGGCTCTGGGCTGACGGCTCGGAGCCTGGAGCCTGTTTCCGATTCTGTGTCTCCCTCTCTCTCTGCCCCTCCCCCGTTCATGCTCTGTCTCTCTCTGTCCCAAAAATAAATAAACGTTGAAAAAAAAATTTTTTTTAAAGAAAAGGCGGTGGAAAAGTGGATGCGGGTGTGTTTTGCGAGCCGCTCCGGGGGTCGTTCTGTTTGTCAGACGGGGCAGTGGAGGCTCCTGGAGGCCGGGAAGCATCCTGGGATCACACGGCCAGCGCCGAGCAGCTGGGGCCGGACTCCGACTCCTGGTCCCTGGTGCGGTCCCTTCTGCAGAGTTGAGTGAGTTACCGGCACACTCATCAGGGCACAAGGGACCCATCTAGGAAAGCAGGCCTTGTTCCACACTGTCCCTCCGTTCTCTGCCCTGTCTGTCCTCACTCCTTTCTTACCCAAGTGGCAAGTGTCATGGGGCCATCAGGAGGTTTGCAAAATAGGTCCCCTGTGACCGCTTTGGGGTCTTCCTCTTTGTACGTATTTTGTACATCCTTTGTGTTTAGTTTTCCTTGGAAAAAGAACCCTTCTACCGGGATCTTTTCTGATCCTTTCTCTATGTGATACGTATTCGGTAAATATTCTTAACGGGGAGCGTTTCACTGGGTGAGCGGACAGTTCCCTTCATCCCAGTAATTGGATACTTGGCTCCTTCCAGTTCTGCGAAGTTACAGCATGTGTAGGCCTGTTTCATTCGGGTGCATTCGTTTCCCGAAGAGAAATCCTTCCATCAAAGGCCCCGCACATTCAAATCTCTGACTATTCGAAGCCCCTCTGTCAGCCTCAGTTCGCATCAGGCTTGCAGGGTGAGGTCGTGACTTTTCTGGTTCACCCTTGAAAAGTCCTTTAAGAAGGCCCCAAATCCGGAGGGCGACAAGAAGTTGGAGGCTTCTGGTAGCCGGTTCAGCGCAGCCAGCTTTTCCCTCTAGCGTAGGGACAGATGGCAGTTTCGTCAGGCGCCGGCGCTGTCCTCGCGGGGAGAGACAGGAGCCCGAGGACTCAGATCCGGCTACCCCGACCCCTCACGCACGGCCGGCGGGGGACTGGCCCGCGCTCTTTCCGTTGTTATTTCTCAAATTCCCTCTCTCCTCCATCTGGAATATTCTAGTTGAATTTGCATTCAGTTACTTGATTCGTAGATCACGGGATCCCACTGGATCGTCTCACACCCTGAGCTGCACTTAAGTGCCACCTGGACGGTCCAGGGGCGCCCGGCTTTCCTGCCCGCCAGGCCTCGGCGGCCGCTCTGGGTCCGGAACAGCATCGGCCCGGCTCTCGGGAGCAGCGGCGCCCGGGCTGGGACTGGGGGCAGTTCTGCGTGTCCCACCTTTCTCTTCAAGCCCCGCTCCCTGTGCAGGTGGTGCGGGAGGGAAGCGCACGCTGTCTGCACCTGGTTCTGCAGGTGGCCTGGGACCCGGGTGACAATGAACTTGCCCGATTCTTCAGGACCGGCTCCGTCCGGCTGGCCTGCGTACCGGCCAGCCCAGGCTCCGCCGGCAGACGGCGCGGGAGCTCACCGGGGGCCCTTGTGGGGCAGGCCTGCCAGCCTGCAGGATGCTTAGGTGCTCTTAGGCCCTCAGCCCAGCTGAGAAAACGTTTTACCGGATCGTGGCCATGAGCGTCTGTCCAAGTACGGTCTCTGGCTGCCGGCAGGTGACAACGGCAGAGTTGGGTAGATGTGACGGAGGCCGAACGGCCCCGCGGTCTAAACCATTTACCGTCTGGCCCTTCAGAGGAAAAGGGCTGTCGGCCGGGCCCCGGTGGCCCGCGCCAGGGTGGCCGTCAGCTCTGCGGGCTGGCCGGCGGGCTCTGACTGCGGGCCCCGCCGCGGAGGCGGCGGGCTGGGCTCTCCCTGCTCAGCCTACGCACCCCCGCTCCTTCGCTGACCGCCCTCCCGGGGTTCTCTCCCCTGGGCAGCATCCACTCGAACGTGCTGAAGGACGAGGCCGAGCCCCCCGCGGCCGGGGGGCTCCCGCCGCCCGAGGTCAGCCTGGGTCGCTTGGACTTCGACGTGTCCGACTTCTTCCTCTTTGGCTCGCCCCTGGGCCTGGTCCTGGCCATGCGGAGGACGGTGCTGCCGGGACTGGACGGTGGGTAGCGCTGCCGGGGCCCGAGAGGCCTTGTGTCTCTGGACCACGGTGTCGGGGCCTCCGGCTAGGGGACCGTGGGGGGGGGGGTGCAGGGAGGGGTGGGGCATGGGGAAGGGGGAGGGAGGGGCAGCCTCCCCGGGCGGGACAAAGGTGAGCCAGCCCCGGTGGGTTTCACCTCCCTGTCACATGCCCCACGTGGGCAGTTGTTATGCTCCACAGGAGGAGAAGCCACATTTACCCTCCTGCCGCCCTCCTTCCCCGGCACCCCCAGGCAGACCTTCTGCGGCCGGGGCGACCTCCCCGACCCCGCACAGTCCCAGGCCCACCTTAGTGCCCGCGGCCTGAGCGCCTGCCCCCAGTGCTCTGAGATACACAGTGAGGTGATGTGCACCGGCCTGTGGTTTAGCAGTGAGTCTGAGGGGACAAGCGGCGGGGGCACCTCGAGGCCCACACGTCCGTCAGGGCTTCTCAAACTCCTTTTCCACAGCGCTCCCCAGCAGCCGCCACCGTGGGACAGAGAAGGGAGGGGCTCTCCTTGAAGCGGGGAGGGGTGAGGCGGAATCCCAGGCCGCCTCCAAGTTGGCGAGGGGACCTGGGTCTCCCAGGACTCCGGACTCCGGACCATTCAGTCCCCCCACCCTGGGGGAGGGGGACACGGGGAGGCCTCGGGGGAAGACACCTGCCGGGCCGGGGGGAGAAGTGTTCTGCGGCTCTGGCCAGCCTCAAGCCCTGTCTCCCGCCTGCCTGGGGGCTGGGCGGCTGGGGAAGGGGCCGCTGATTCCGACTGAGAGACCTGGGTCTGCCTGGTAGATCACACGGAGAGTTCGCGGACGCCGGAAGGATTTGCAGGAGACCGAGCAGGGGAAACAGTGGAGGGAAGGCCTGCGTGGAAGAGGGGCTTGCCTGAGCAAAGGCATAGAGAGGGGCAGCCGGCAGGGGCAGGGCCGGGGTGGGGAACTGCAGAGGAGCGCCGGCCGCAGCCCTGGGGCCTAGAGCGCCGCTCCTGGTGGGGCAGGTCGGCAAGGCCCTGAGTGCCAAACGCAGCACGATGGCTTTGGTCCTGTTGGTAGCAGGGAGCCACGGCATGTTCTTGAGCAGAGGGCTGGGCCACCCGAAGCCGCACTCAAGGAAGCCTGCTGGGCCCAAGGGAGCAGGAACTGGCAAGGGGCTTCCCCCACGTCCTGTCTGTCCCCCTCAGGCTTCCAGATGCGTCCCGCCTGCAGCCAGGTCTACAGTTTCTTCCACTGCGCGGACCCCTCTGCCTCGCGGCTGGAGCCCCTGCTGGAGCCCAAGTTCCACCTGGTGCCGCCCGTCAGCGTGCCCCGCTACCAGAGGTTCCCGCTGGGCGACGGGCAGTCCCTCCTGCTGGGTAGGCTCTCCGCGGTTGGGGGGGGGGGGGCGGTTGTGTGAGCGTGCTGAGCCAGGGGCTGGGCCCCGCCGGGTGGCACTCCAGGGCCACCCTCTCTGGTCCAGGCTCTCCACGCGCTGGCCGAGGGAGGGACTAGACTCCCCTCCGACCAGGGGCCACGTGCTCCAGAGCAGGAGGAGGGGGTAGAAACAGCTGCTCACCTGTGTGCACCCCTGCTCTGTCGGGGGCGTCTTGGGGCCCAGAGGCCAGGCTCTGCCCCTGACGGGCTCCTGGGGCCAGCACGCTGCTCGAGCCATCAGACCTGAGTGCAAGTCCGGGGGTCTGTCCTGGGTGTTGTTCCCCAGCCTCGCCCCTGGAGGTGCAGGGCCAGGAATGTGTCATCCGGGTGGGCATCATGGAAGAGGGGGCCTTGGGCCATGGCATTTGGACAGGCGGAGCAGAGCTGGAGGATGAGGGTCGGGGGGCACTTGTAGGTGGAAGGAGCAGCGGGAAGAGGGCAGGTGGGTCTGGGGGAGGCCAGTGGTCTCCAGGGCTGACACGGAGTGAACCAGGCACGGGCAGGGGAGGCCGGCGTTGGCAGTCGGGGCTGGGAAATCAGGGCCTTCGTTCCACACCCTGGATGAGGAGGTTTGGTCAGAGCCTGTTCAGCAGTTTGGGCCAGACTGGGGGAGGGGGGCGGTGCTGCGCATGAGGCTCATTCAGGATCCAAAAACAGCACCCCCCCCATTTTTAATGGAAACTTAATTTCCAAAGTCCTGCTTCGTCAGGAGCTTCCACAGACGGTCTCCCCCGTGCACCCGAAAATGCGTTGCTCTGGGCGGGGCAGGGCCCAGCCCCGGAGAGCGTCCTAGCGCCTTGGCTGACACGACTGTTCCCACCCGGGCTCGGCCGCAGGCCTCTGTGCCTCGGTGGGGGGGGGGGGGGAGTGGGGTCCGTGGAGGGGCACGTGGTGACCGTCCGCCTCCGGAAGTGCCCTCAGCAGTTCTGCCACAGACGGAGGGGATGGTTGGGACCCACAACTTAGAGGAGGTGAGACCCAGCCGGGCCCTGGGGTGCAGGCGCCCCGTCGAGCCCTGGGGGGTTAGGGGCACGGGCTGCCTGTGGGGTGGGGGTGATGGTGAGCGGACCGGGGGAGCCCAGACTCCCGCCCGGTACAGGCAGCTCCGGACACACGGCCCGGCCCTGACCGCGACCTTCCCCCCGCCAGCTGACGCTCTGCACGCCCACAGCGGCCTCTTCCTGGAGGGCGGCTCACGGGACAGCCCACCGCCCCCGGACGCCCCCGCCCCGCCTCCTCAGGCCCCGGGGGCCCAGTGCCCTGCACGGAGGATGAGCCGGGACAGCTCACACAGCGACAGCTCAGACTCCTCAGACAGCCTGGCCCCCGCGGGCGTCTCCCACAGTGAGTGAGGGTTTTCGGGGCGCTGCCTGCTTTGAGGGACAGGGACCCCCCCACCCCGGGCGGGCGCTGGTCCACGCCGGGGCTGCTGAGGGCGGGCTGGGAGCGATAAAAGAAATCCATCCAGACTGAGCCCCGGGGCCGAGCCGTGACCCCAGCGTTTGTCTCCACGGGGCCAGCCCCCGCTGCTGGGGACCGGGTTGCAGGGCTCGTCCTGGGGACAGGCAGGAGAAGGGGCTGGTGGCTCACGGGAAGCTGAGTGGTCACGTCCGGGGCTCCGACCCCGGACCTGCGCCCCGAGTGGCCCGTTCACCGCGGGGTCCGTGTGCCGGGGCCCTACGCTGGCTCTCGGGTCAAGGCCCAGCCGGGCCACACGGTCCTCACCTGGATCTCGGGCCCACAGTCACGGCCAAGTGGTGGGGCGCCAAGCGTATCGACTACGCCCTGTACTGCCCCGACGTCCTCACGGCCTTTCCCACCGTGGCCCTGCCCCACCTCTTCCACGCCAGCTACTGGGAGTCCACGGACGTGGTAGCCTTCATCCTGAGACAGGTACTGTTGGCCCTCTCCGGACCCCTCGGGAGGGCCCGTCCTGCTCTCTGGGGAACAGGGTATCTTGCGGGCCACACTGCACCCTGGGAGGGCGTGGGGGTTACGAGGCCACACGGGGGGTTTCATGGAGAGCGCTGGCTTCTGGTCAATGGCGTGGCACTTTCTGGAAAATTAAACAGAAACCGCACAGGAGAATGGACCCGTGTTCCGCCTGGAGACGAGTCATAAATGCCTGTTCCTCTGAGGGTCTCGGTGTCCTCGGAGAGGCCGGTGACTGAGGGGGAGCCTGGGGGGGGGGGGAAGGGGGCCGGGAGGCGGGGTCGGTGGCCAAGGGCGGGAGTTTGATTCTGTTCTGTGTCCCGCGAGAAGCCACCGCAGGGCTGAGCAAAGAGAGAGCTCGTGCCTGACCATGTTCTGGGAAGGGAGTCCTGTGTCTGCTGCTTGAGGGGCCAGAGAGAAAGCCCCAGGCCCGTTACAAGGCCAACCTGGGGGTCCGGCTTTGGGCCTGGAGCTGGTGCGGAGGCCCGGGGGGCCGGGGATGGGGCGACAGCAAGGCTTGCTGGCATCTGGGCGTGAGGGACCGAGGGCCGTGCTGCAGGGCCTGACGCCCACCTGAGCACCTGGGGGGCTCCCTGGGGTTGGGGAGGAGCAGGGCCAGGCTGGGGTGCGGGAAACCGAGTCTTGGGTCTGGGCCTGAGAAGCACGAAGGGAGGCGAGTGGAGTCTGGGGCTCGGCAGTCGCCGGTGGTGGGTGTCCCGGTGATGGGCGCGGCACCCCGATGCTGAGGTGGGTTTTGCCCCCACTGAGCGGCTCTCCCCGCCAGTGGGGCATCCTGCAGCGTAGCCCAGTTGTGACCCCGCTGACCCCACGGCAGCGTCGGCCCCGCCAGTTCCGGGTGCAGGTCGTTGCCCGGGCTTCCGGCCCCTGAGACGGACGGTCCGGCAACCCTGCCTCGGGTCCTGCCGTCCGCTGGGGGGGCCTCCAGAATGCCTCCCACCTGGACCTTGTGGGTCCCCAGAAGTCAGGGGGTGGGACTGGAGGTGCCAGCCTCTGGTCACGTGCGGCCTGCTCCTGTCCACAGCTCCCCCTTGGGTGGGGTCCAGATGCCACCTCACTAACAAACAAAAGGCATCTTGAGGGCTCTCTGGCATCGAGGAGATTCCAGAGGTTTTGGGAGCTCTGAGACCGGATCTGGGTTTCCCACGTGGGAGCCAAGGGTGTCGCTGTAGGCTGAGAAGTGCAGGGACGGGGACCCAGGGGGTGGAGGAGGAGCCCTGGAAGGTGCAGGAGAGCCGGGAGAGGGCGCGAGCCTCTGCGCTGGGCCGGACAAAGTCCGGGGGCTGCGGGGGGGTCTGGAGGAAGCCCGCGTGGGGCAGGTGCAAGGGGAGCAGGCGGGTGGGAGCCACGAGGTTTCCGTGGGGCGTGGCTCCGACAGGCACAGGGTCAGTCCTGGGGACGCGGAAGGGCGTGACCCAGTGGGGGAGGGACGGAGCCACGGGGCTGGGTGGGAGGGAGGACCGGCTAGCTGCTGGAACAGCGCGGGCAGGGAACGGATCCGAGCGGGGGGGCCACGGTTTGGACGCCGTGCACAGAGGCTGCTCCCTGGCAGAGCATCTGAGAGCCCGCGGCCTGGCCCTGGCTGTCAGGATGGCGGCAGACGGGTCCCGGGGCTCCTGGCCTCCCGAGACGGGGCGGGGGGGGGGGGGGGAGGCTGCCGGCCCTGACAGCCTTCTGGGAAGGAGGGAGCGGGGTGGGCCCGGCCGACCTGGAGCCCTGCTCGGCTGCCCGTCAGGTGATGCGCTACGAGAACGTGACCGTCAAGGAGAACGCGGGCCTGGATCCTGCGGCACTGAGCCCCGCCAACCCCCGTGAGAAGTGGCTTCGCAAGAGGACCCAGGTCAAGCTGCGGGTATGTGCTCATTGGCACCGTGTCCTGGTGGGGGTGGGGGTCTCAGCTGGGGTGCCCTGGGGGCTGGAGCACCCGCGTGGCAGGGGAGGGCTGCGGGTGGCAGGGAAGGTGGGGGTGGGCTCGGGGCTACGCGGGGTGGGGGGGCCGGTTCCCGAAGGCCCGGCTCCGGGGGTCCAGGACGCTGGGGGTGGAGCGGCTGCTGTATGTCAGGCTTCTGGAGACGCGGATGTGAGTCAGGGTCTTGCCCATGACCGTGGGGCTCACAGTCTGATTCGCCTCTGAGTATGTACGGCCCGGCGTGGTGTCTGTGGTGAGAGAGGGAAGCGCAGATTAGGAAGAAAACGGATAAAAGGACTTGGGGCAGACCAGGCAGGGCTTCCCTGAAGGAGAGTCGCCTCCGTAGGGTATTGAAGGATGAATAGGAGCGTGGTATGCGTCACTTCATGCATGTACTCAGCAAAGCATCATCAGTTGTGGATGTGGCCCCCTGCGCCGGGTCCACAGACGCAGCCACTGCTCCGGTGGGCCGTCTGGTGGGAGCACCAGACGTGGACGCTGAGGACCCTGAGCGCGGACCGGTGCTCCGCGAATCAACCCAGTTCTCGCAAACGTATTTATTGAGCTACGGTCACGTTCTCTACAACTCGCCTGCTGAAGGGGGACAGTTCGGTGGATGTGAGCGTGTTCACGGATGCGCACAAACATCACTACGGCCAAGTTTAGGACCTTCTCATCACTTCGGAAAGAGGCCCCTTTCCCCGTAACCGTCCCCCGACCGTGGTCCCTGCCCCTGGCCCCAGCTGTCTGTCTGCTCTGGGCCGTCCGTGTAACGGAACTATCCGGCGTGTTGTCTCTGCATCCGGCTTCCTTCTCGGAGCCCTGTGCTCTGGGGGCGCGCCCACGTTGCGGCAGGCATGGGTACCTCGTTCCGCTTGACGGCCGAGGATCTTCCCGCAGACGGACACGTTCCGTTTACCCAGTCGTCACCTGTGGGCCTTTGGGCGGTTCGCACCTTTTCTCTACCGTGGGCGACGCTCCGGGCTCCTGTGTGTCGTCTCTCGTGGGATCCAGCCGCCCCGGCGGGTGCGAGGCAGGGTCTCCGTGTGGTTTTGCTTCGCGTCTCCCCGCAGATAGGTGACACAGGCGTCTTCCCGTGTGTCTGTTTCCGCGAGTTAAGTCTCTCCTCCCTGGAGTTTTGGCGGTGTGGCCCATGCCCCCTCCCGACCATCTGTGGGTCCGGGTCCCCTGAGCCCAGTCCAGGGGCCGGTGCAGGTGGGGGGGGGTCCGCTGAATTGCATGCAGATACCGTGAGAATGGAGGGCGGGGGTCCACAGGGTGCTTCTCGGACGCGGCCGGGCCAGGCCGTAGCGGGTGGGCTGGGAGGTGGGGGCAGACAGAGTCGGGGGGGCCCTGCAGTGCCCGGCCCATGACAACTGGGGGCCATACACAGGTCACGAGGCACGGCCGTGACGCCGAGCTCAGGATCCGGAATTCACCGCGGGGGCCTGGGCGTCAGCAGTTCTGTGCTTTGGCATGGCTTGTGTTGACTGAGGGTCCCCAATGAGGGCTGTAAGCAGAGCCCCGGCCAGGGGGAGCTCGGTGGGTGGAGACAGACGCCTATGGGAACGGTCACTGGCTTGAGGGGTTCGGTCTTGGAGCGAGGCTGGGGGCCGAGGGGGGCCTTTGAGCTGCGGGGTGAATTGAAACCAGAAGTGGAGAAGCCTGGGGACCCTGGATGCTTACAGACAAAGTGACTCCGTGTCCGGAATGATCCGCAGTGTGGGGGATGGGGGACCCCAAGGGAGGCCGTAGCTGGTGCGGGGCGCAGGCAGGGTCCCCACGCACTTCTCCACGCTCTGACACGTTTACATTTCCCAGTAAGAAGACACACGGTAAGTGGCTGTGGGATGGGACCTGTGATGTGGAAGGCGGAACGGGAGGCGTCCTGGCAGGGTCCGGCCCAGGAGCCGGGGAGGAGGACAGCCAGGGGCCCGGCCGCCACCCCAGGGTGCGTGGGATGGTCAGGATCAGGGTGCTTGTCCGTCTGCGGGAACCCGGGGTCCACAGCACACAGCTCAGAAGGGGTGACGCGGCAGGGACACGTGTGCCCTGCGGTCCTAAGGACAGCGTCGGGAGGAAGCTCACAGTCCAGCCCCAGTGGCAAAGGCCGAGCTGATCTCTGCTTTCAGAACGTCACCGCGAACCACCGGGCCAACGACGTGATCGCCGCGGAAGACGGCCCGCAGGTCCTGGTGGGGCGCTTCATGTACGGGCCCCTGGACATGGTGGCTCTGACCGGAGAGAAGGTGTGAGGGCCGGGCCGGGTGGTGGGGCGGAGCAGGGCCGGGAGGGTGAGCGGTGGGGAGGGCCCGAAGTCTGTGCGCCTGAGGGCTGGGCGTGGGGGCCGAGGAGCCGGCCGAATGGCCCCTGGCCCCCGCCTGCAGCCCCCGGCCTTCAGGGCGTCCCCTGGCCCCTCACCGCGTGCAGGTGGACATCCTGGTGATGGCGGAGCCGTCCTCGGGCCGCTGGGTGCACCTGGACACCGAGATCACCAACAGCAGTGGCCGCATCACCTACAGCGTCCCGCGGCCCCGGCGCCTGGGGGTGGGCGTCTACCCCGTGAAGATGGTCGTCAGGTAAGACCCAGGCCGTTCGGCGCCCTTCCAGCCGGGCGGGCCGGGTGATGGAGCCCTGGGGGTGCTTTACGGGGGGGGGGGGCGGGGAGAGAGAGGAAGACGGACCGGCTGGCCAGCTGTGGCTTCAGGAGATACCGGGCCCGCTGCTCCCTGAGCCGGGGCCCCGGCCGACCCCTGGCCTCAGGCTACGGGCTGAGTGCGACGCGGGCCAACCACAGGCAGGTGCCTTTTAGGGGCGACCAGACCTTTGCGATGAGCTACCTCACAGTGCTGCCCCGGGGCATGGAGTGCGTGGTGTTCAGCATCGACGGGTCCTTTGCGGCCAGCGTGTCTATCATGGGAAGTGACCCCAAGGTCCGGCCGGGGGCCGTGGACGTCGTCCGGTGAGTGTTCCCTCCCGTCCCTTCCCAGAGGCCCCGGGAGAGCCGGGCCGTGTATTTTTCCGGAATTCCACTAATCTCCGGGGCAGGAACTGGGGAGTCCCGGTCACGTGTACCGAGGGTCCCCAAGAAACGCCCTGCCGCCGTCTGGACGCTAGCTCCCCCTCCCTCCCGCCTCCGTTTAATCTCTGCAGCCAGCCAAGACTGGGCTCCCGAGTTCTGACTCCAGGCGGGGTCCAATCGGCGTGTTCTGGTGGCCTCTGGGAGAAATGGCTCCGAATGTAGCAGCCGAAAAGAATACTATTCTATCTCTCGCGGTTCCGTGGGTGGGCTGGGCTCTGCTCGGATGTTGTCACGTGGGGTGTTCCCGTGACTCACGGCCGGGTGGCGATCTGGGCTGGGGGCGGGGCTCATCCGCAGGCTCCCCTCGGGCCCGGGGTTCGAGATGGCCTCTGGACTCGCAGTGGCTGGGCCCGCTCTCTGTCCGCGGGGCCAGCCTGGGCCGTCTCGTGGAGACCCGGGTGGAGGCCGCAAGCTTTCTCAGGACCCAGCCTGGGGCGTCACAGTGACCTTTCCGCTGTGTTCCGCTGGTCGTGAGTAGTGGCAGGATCCGCCCGGATTCACGGGGAAGGGACCACCTAAACGTGTGACTACGGGACACGTGGCTCCCAGGGGCCACCCTCTGAGCCTGACTCAGGCGCAGTGAGCTGACTGGGGAGAGCAGGGCAGGCTTCCTGAGAGAGGTGGCGTCAGAGAGAGTCCCCGAGGGGTGGACGGGTTCAGTCCAAGCCGCTGCACAAAGATTAGCAAACGTGGGGAAGCGAGAGAAAATAGAAAACGGATTTTGATAGGCCAGAAAGGAGGCCGCGGGGCGACAAGGACAGGAAGAGCAGAGCACGTGGTGGGACGGGGTCAGGGTGGCTGGATTTTGGAGGCCAGACCAGGACGGGGCCGGAGGTGGGGCTGGAAGCAGCCGTGTAGAAGGGTGTCACCACAGGAGAGTGAGGGAGGAGCCACTTTCTCCCCTCCCCGCCTCCCTCTCATCCCTCCCTCTCACCCTCCCTGCCTCCCCCCTGCCTCCCCCTCCCCACCTCCCTCCCTCCTACCCTCCCTGCCTCCCTGTTTCCACCCCTGCCTCCCTCCCTGCCTCCCCCACCCCATCCCTACCTCCCTGCCTACCCCCTCCCTGCCTCCCTCCATCCCTGCCTCCCTCC